TTGCTCTATTTAAAGTACAAACCCAACAATCAAAGGGCGGTGGTCATCGTGATGCATTATGCTTGTTGTGGGTCCCATGCAACATACATGTATACAGCATATATACCGGTACATGGATTGTTTACATGAAATTTGAATGTGTGCTGAACAATACTTACATGTATGCCATTAAAACATACGCAAAACTTGTACTGCACTATTCATCCTAGCTTTTAGTTCAGTTGATGTAAGTGCATGTGATTCTCATAAAAATTGCACAGTATTTATCATTCCAGTCAAACAGTGTGTGCTTATATTAGAGGTAAGTATGGTTACCTCAAAAAATATCTGAGTGCAAGGTGCGCGGACATGCAGAAGCCACAATAATGATGTGTGTATGTTGATCTGCATGGATATTCTGAGGACATGTGAATGCTACACAAAAACAGTACTTATAATACCGTACTTTTGTTTTATACGATAAATAAAATTCAACTTGTTTTCAGTGAAGAATACATGGAGATGTCAATAGAAAGAACTTAAGCAGGATGCTAAGCCCAGGTTCAAAGTTGTCAAAGTCAATATCCTGGAAGTACAATTTATTGGAAAATAAATAAATTCTATGTATTTGCATTCATGACTTCATGGCTTCTACCTTAATACAATAAATACATAGAAAAATGATATCAATTTGTACTACTATATGGGGAAAGGTGATCAACATTTAAGATACGGTAGCCACAACCTTGCAACAAAACAAACTTTCAATGTAATTAAGTGTGAACCATAGGTTTGACCTGCTAAAAAGCAGACTTTAGATTTCCAAAAATCATTTCTTGTGCATAACTTTTAATTTTACACAATTATATATTTCCTTCAATTCATACCACATTTATTTGAAAACTCAAGTAATGATATATTCAACTTTCAATGTAATGTGCAGCGTTTGTATCAATAACAGGTTTGTATTATTGTATTAAGGTTTGTTATTGGAATACTTAAGAGCAAATGTTTGTAAGGATCAAACAATGGTGGCAGGGGTCAAAAAATCGATTGTGAAAAATCAAATGTGAAAAAATAAAGTAAACCAGACTCTAAGCTAGGATTCTCTGTAACAAATGCACTGTTACAGACTAGCAAATGATGATCACAGAGTTGCTGGAAACAAAATATCTATCACTGACTCACCAGGATTGATATAATAATATTTTAATGCACAGCCAGGGAAATATTGTTTCCAATTTCCCTTGTGCTCTGAGAGCAACAAAAAATGTTTTAGAAAAGAGTTCCATATAACTAACCTCCATCTGACCATTTCTGTTTCATTCTAGAACAACTTTGATCTGCCTGCAGCGTTTCCTTCTTTATTGAGTATTTGCTATCGGCTTTCATTCGACAGAAGAACGATCTGCGAGCTCCCGTCGAAGATTGGGAAGAAGGATTTGGCAAGGAATCTGAACTCATTGGCAATCCAGCTACAGATGGAAATAAAAACAAGTCATTGAAAATGACACAGTCCTCGTAAAATTGTTGAAAGTTCTCTTTGTGTTCGCGAGCGTGTCCTTGAAACTTGAGTCCCAAGTGGCGTATACAACAGATTGTTGAAATTCAAACACGTGTTGCGTGACAACCCCTTCGGTTTAGGACATAGCAAAGAAAAACATAGATCACAAGTGAAAGCATGTGCAAGTTATCACATTTTAAACAAACAAGATGATCACCAGTCGGCCATATTTGATCGAATTGTAAATTGAATTGACATGTACCCATTTATGACATGCTAAATATCAATGAAAATGATACATGGGTGACAGAGATATAGTAATATGACCAAAAATAAAAACAGCCGTTATTAGGCCATCTTTGATCTGATTATGAAACAAACTGACATGTATGATGTATGTGCCAAATACGAATGAAAATGGTACATAAATATTGGAAATATACTAGCAAGACCAAAAAGTCAGATGGCTGTCAATTTGCCATCCTTGATCTGATTTTTAAACAAATTGTCATGGACAGGTATCCTAACATGTATAAAGTATGTGCCAAATTTTAATGAAAACTGACAAAGCATGTTTTAAATACAAGATGGCTGCCAGTCGGCCATTTTGAATTGAATCGCTAAACGACTGCATGTGCACATGTACCACATAAAGTACTAGGCACATGCAAAGAATGAGCGGAATCAGTCCAAAAAGGATTCAGAAATAAGACTCTGGACACACGAACGGAGACCTAATTATAAGTCTCTGTTTCTGAACTTCGTTCGACCTGATTGTCTAAATACAAAATGAAGTGCTCTTTTGAATACAATGTTGCTTCACAGATTAACTCTAAACCATAAACTCAATTCAATCTATTTGATTAAACTAGATACAAAATAATAATGAAAACAGATAATTAGTATGTCAAGGACATAATTGATTCATTACCAATGCAATATAGAAGAAACTGAAGTTGAATTTAATTTAATTTAATTTAATTATGTTGTATACAAAGTAGAAATTCACTAGTTGAGGATATGACCAAGTACTACACTAATTTACCGTAATAACAGTTCACAGTAAATTTGTTTCCATGTTTTCAGACTACATTGATCAATTGGCACAATTTATTAAATACTGCCTAATAATCAGACAGCAACATAGGAAGAGATGCATTTTCATTTTTGTATATTCATTATGTTGTATACTGGCTAGTTTACTTAGCAGGCAGTGTGGTATTAAAATGAATTTTGTGCTTGTGTAAACTCATTGTTTATCATTGTCATTTTGTTTTTGTAGTCCTTAATGACCTTACTGCCGTACTTTCCAAAGACAGAGAATGTTTTAATTCTAGCTATCTAATCAGTACACACATATAACAAGATTCAATAGTTGCGTTCACGCACAGCTCCTTAGCGCGGACTAAGAAGTCAAATTCTCTAGCCTGTGCTACAAAACATGCTAAGAAAACATGCGTGAACGCTTAGCACACGCTAAGGAATGCTAAGTATGGGTAAAATCTGATCCGATTTTAGGATGCGACCCAGACCCTTAGCACAGGCTAACAAAGTGTGCGCTAACTCTTAGCCCAGGGCTAAGGGCTCTCTGTGGCAAGCTTTGGATGTGAATATTATGCACATGATCAAATATATGCAACTTTCTCATTTCCAAAATGGCAACCGAGCTCAGTGTGTACGGAACTTTGTTCCCTCACAAAAACTGGAACGACAAAGAGACAATAGCTTTACTGGGTATATGGAAAGACAGCAAAATCTTGAACAGAACAAATGCTTACCAGGATATGCAAGCTAAATTAGAAGTGATGGGATTTTTCGAAACAGCGGCTTAACAAGGGTCATCGACTGATGGCGCACCTTAGCCCGTGCCAAGGACTGGCCTTCCTAGTGCGTGGACGCAATTGGGTCTAGTCGAAATGCAAATATGTGAGATATGCCTAAATCAGCTTAAGGTTGCGATGCAGTTTTTATTTTTTATGGCACTGTATGAACATCTGTATTCTGTGAAAATTTCAAATAAAAATCATTAGTTAAATCCAATGGCGATGTACTGAACTATAAAATATGCAAATTAGCAATTATCTCAGCTTCTTTTTAGTGCACATCCCTAAAATTTTTAAAAAAATAGCTCCTAGACGCTTTGACCTTTTCTTTTGAAATTTTACAAATGATTGACAACGTGTTTATCTTCAAAATGCCGTTGGGGCATTGTTTTTGGTTGAACAGTGTTACAACAATCGTACAGACAACTAGCCTGGGGGTTAATTTATGCATAAACTTGAATTAGTGAAATTTGAGCTGCTGCCCAGCAAAATTGACATCTGGTAGAGTTTTCAAGACGGCACTTTCTTCATAGATGTACCCGTAAACCAATTTTGACAGGAAACAGAGGCATGGTTTAGAAGCTAATTTTTTCTTAAATCACTTTTGACCAAAAAAAATACATTCAAACTACAGTGTCCATAAAAAAAAATACTTACAAAATTTTATAATTCATACAATAAGCTTTCCGAAAATATATAGTTTTGTGGACAAGGGAGGTCATCTTGGTTGCCTAATTAACTAAAATACCTGTCAGGTAAACTGCATCTCTACCTTAAATCTTAGCCTGTACTTTGTGTAGCGTGAACACATAACTACTAGTCTATCTGAATGAACAGGAATAAAAATAACAAGTAAATACATTACACATCCCCAGTGAGTTATCAAGTCAAGGCATGGTTACAGAATATTGAACACGGCAAAAAGGACTTACTTTTAGCATCCATCAACCTTTCTCGTGGAGGTAGATCAGAAGATGACAACTGTTCCTTCACTTTTGTGATGTCTTTTGGGTGCAATAAATCAAACATACTAAGCCCAAACAGCTCCTCCTGAAACACACAAAACAGTATAGGAAGAAATCTGAATTTTAAGCATTTAAGTATGACAGTATGCACAATTATTGAAATTGACCTTTGACACATTTAATATACCAATTAGTGGCACCACTACCACATTTAACAAATTGTACCTTTTGGGTGCTGAATGCTGGTGCTACAAGTTACACATTTTTATGATATTTCAGCTATTTCTTTGTTAATTTTGGACCAAATGAACATAACTTGTTTTTACTACAAATGTTGACTATATTAATTTGAAAAAATAGGAGAAAGGTTTTGTTTTTTACAATAATTTCAAAACTACTTACTCTGTTTATATTTAGAATCTGATTGACAGATTCTGATAAATACAACATCTTTCCACGATCACAGGTCACAACAAATAAGAAACCTTCTGCAGCCTGTCATAACATACACAACATAATAAGAATTAATACTATGAACAGTAATCAATTCTAGATCAATTTTGAAATATCCATTGCATTTTTGAAAAGATTCAATTTTCAGTCAATTTTAAACATTAATCTACATTTCAAAGTACATTAAAAATATATTTTCAAAACCTACATGTAACTTTAGTCTATATTTGGCCAAATGTTCATGTTCATTGACTATAATAATGATTAATATTTCTGTTAAGATAATAAGATCAGTTTATATAAATTTCCCTTTGTGTTGTTTGCATATATATTAACATAGTTAAACTACACATGGCTTGCTCTTTATATGTAAGGGTGAGCAGATCATAGCACAGTGTGGGGATATCATTACAAGTAGACTTCAAAGGCATAGTGTGGGAAAAGTCACCTTGGCATGGAGATCAACCATATATATAAATTGTAATCAGTAATCAGTAATTAGTAATGAGTAATCAGTTAATTAGGATGTAGAAAAAAATGTGGAAGTTACTCATAATGACGCTTTAAACAATTTACAGGAATTGAAAAGCAGGTGTAAAGTGTAAAATTATTTGAACTCTCAATCTTCCACTTACAAAGCAAAGTTCTTAACAACTACACTTTTCAATAGACACCTTATATACTCTTTAAAAAGAAGCTTTCCAAATTCATTAAAAATTTTGGAAAATCAACTCCAAAATCTGTACAGACCAACTATACCTACAGATTAACCATATATATAAGTTTGATAGCAATCAGCTAAATATTATTGTTATTGCACTTATATGAAAGGTTTATGAAGTCAGACGATGTTGATGGCGACACTGACACCGAACCAGAATTTATAATCAGGGCAATCTAGGAACAGGAGTTTATAACCCAGAAAATATTGGAAAACAGAATGTATAACCAGTCAATCAAGGGAACTGGAATTTATAACCAGAGTAATCTGTGTAACCGGATTTATAACCACAGCAATTTTGGGAACCAGAATTTATAACCAGGCAATCTAAGGCAGTAACAATGGTCATACATAACTCAATGCCAGCTGACACAAAAGATATCTACCTGCAAAATGTGTTGTTAATTCATATCTCAAACAATATGACATCTTATGATGTACAGAGAAACCATATTATTTGAAACTAACCTGGTTGATAATTATAGCAATCAGTGAACATGCATACTCTCCTTGGAGTGGGTGTTTATTCACATACTTGGAGGGTCATCAACTCATGGGGGACAAAGGGGTGTTTAATAACTCACAAGAAAGGTCTTTAAATAGTGAGGCATAAAATGTTAAGTTATCACTCATATGGAAGGTCATTAACTCGAGTGAGATTAGGTGGTGTTTATTCACTCACATTGGAGAT